GGCCGCCTCTCTCTCGGTGCCGGAGAGAACGAAAGGAAGGCAGCGGGCGAGAGAAGGACGCTGGCCACCGTGAGAAGCTGCGGAATAAGGGAGCGAGAAGGAACGACGACGGCGGCAACGGCGGCATAGCGGCGGGTGGCGCGCGGCGCGGCGTCGAAGGTGGAGGAGGACGACGCGGCGAGGACCGTCGAGTGGGTGGCTGGCCGGACGGGGGCGGCGGGCGAAGGAGGAGGGGGTCGAGGGAAAAGGACATTAAGGTGCGTAATAGCCAGCGGGGCGAACGCGCACCGCCGCGGCATCGATTAGACAGAGGCTCCCTCATCCCATTGCTAGAATGCAGCCCACTCTCTCCTCTACCTTCACCGCCACCTTCAACCACCCATTCACCCACCATCCGCCTCCCCCCGCCTGGTCCCCCCTCCCCCTCCGACGCAGGGGGGTCCCCACGACCATCCAACCCTCCACCTACTCCGTCGAACTGGAGAGCCCCCGAGTACGTGCTCTACATACACACTCGCGCGCTTATGTCAGTTCCTGTCCTGCTGCCGGCGCTGCCACTGCCGCCGCCCCCGCCGCTGCCGCCGCCGCCGCCACCGTTGTGAGGAGGAGAAAGAGAAGAGAGAGAGAGAGAGAGGAAGACACGGAGAATCGGAGAGCGAGAGCAGTGGGCTTGAGGAGAAAAAGAGACAGCGCGTAAAGCAGAGGGTGGCCGAAGCCACCTCTCTACCTATCCCGTGGCACCTACACACGCGCCATCGGGGACACCAACGTCTAACGTCGTTATAAACATTAACGGAGCGGCTCAATATTCCCCGGACCTTGCATCCCTCTGCGTCTACCTCCGGTCCATCTCCCTTCTCGGGCAAAGCGGAGCCCCTTCCCCCCGGCCCGCCGGACGCTCGCATGCGGCGAGCTCACCTTGCTACGGTTTCCGGGTCCTCCGTTGACCCTATGAAGGGTCACCTAGTTGATATGCCTCGGACGACCGAAGTCGAAAGGGTGTACTCGCCACTTCTTAGCGAACGTACGAAACATTGAATGGTACTTGCGGCGTAACCAGCTCTCGGACACTGCCCGTCCGCCCGATAACGCGGGCCTTTGTCCGACACACACCGCTTCGTTGTCGACACCGCCTGGAAACGAACTTGGAAATTTAAACTTATCGATACTTATCGACATCGCGTGCGATGTCGAAGTCTTACAGAGATTATTAATTAAAAAGTGAAATTTTTTCTTGCTATTCTCACTTTAGAATCACATAGAGCATAATTGTAAATATAAATTGCAATATAATGAATCGATTATTTATTTTATTACGTAAGAAAAATTCAGAATTAAATTTTTTCGAACGAAGCTATATGTGTGCATTGATTGAATGTAAATTGAAGGAGCATTATGTGACGAAATCAGAAATTGAAAAGGATCTATCTTCGCGTGTTTTCCCGATCGAGTTCCAATTCTAACGACGAAAGATCGAAACGGGACAATAAATGGCTGGCCGGAAATTGTAATTGGAAGCAAAGAGAACGGAACGTCCGTCGTTGCTCTTACGGATACAAACAAGTCGAGTAGAATTACGTTAGGGAGATTCAGTCGATTTCATACGATCACTCGGTGGATCTCATCGTTCCTGAACCGGGATGAGGAGCGATGAAAAGGAGGTTAAGAGAGTCTGCGGGAATGGAACTCGTGGCCGCTTACGGCTTCGGATTGAGATCGTCTAATTTCGTTCGACGAGTCCCGCAAGGATCTTTCTCTCCATCGTCTTCATCCTCGTCTTCGTCGACTTCTACTCGGGGTCTATTCGGGCTTCAATTTCGGTGACGGGGTCGTGCAAGGCCGACGCATTCGTGTCCGAGGGATCGCGCTGATTATTGTTAATTATAGCGGGTATTAAAAGCGAGGGAGGGTGTGGGATCCTTGATCATTCTGACCAGATTAGCGATGATGATCGAAGGCGCGGTGGATGCCGTCCCCCACGGAGATTGCGCTGGCCTTTTTATTTTAGCAAATCCTGTTAGATGCAACTAAAAATACGTAGTACGTTATTATATGAAATAATTAGTTTTCTTACAGTATGAAGATTTTATCTTTTAATTTTACATCTTAATTTTACGTACGATACTATTAAACTTCTCTATGAGATGTACCATGATATTCCTGTAACATCAAATTTATATACATTATTTATATACATTTTTACCTCCCCTTCTCTGTATATCCTTCTCCAAAATTTCTCCTAAAAATATAAATTTTAAGAGGAGAAGAACTTATGGATTAAAATAACACAGTTACGGGAAAAAATGTATTACGTAACATTTTGATAAAATCTGCGCGCGTGGAATATTGGTATTATTACATCTAAATTGATATAAAATTGCGAACAACAGCGCATTAAATTTGTTCAACAAATATTATTTATTTCTTCCGTCTTTCTCTTCGCGATCAGACCGTCAGGTCGTTTCAAGAGGCAATTTCGCGTTTACACGTACCTCTCGTTGGAAGCAGGTGCAGATCCTTTTTTCGTATTGCGATCGGTAATTAGGGATTAGTCATCGGCGATCCTCGATCAACGGCGACAACGAGCAGTTAGCTGGAAGTGCCGCACGATGCCTCGATCGTGGATACTACATTGACATATCGGCGTCTCAGCGACGTTCACGGACATTGCCCAATTAACGGCTATCCTTGTTTTTTCGGCAAATACTCGTAAATCTCAACATGAATCTGTCTACTCGGTTTATCCGCGATACCCGTCTTCCCGAGCAATCATCTTCCTTATTAATGTCGTACACGTGTTACATACGTGATACGATGTATTTGCACGAAATCGTTCGGGTTTCAAGGGATCTCTAATCCGTTGTGCTATACGCGTCTTTTGTTAAGACCTGTTTATTTTGATTTATCGAGTTGGACGTAGTTTTGCTTTCGGTCGACGTCCGAATCACTCGATCTATTAGTTATGTAATTAACGCGAATATGCGGGACACCATTATTTCTACTAAGGGCGTGTTATCTTTAATGATTTGGCTTTCATCATCGAAAACTCGGCAAATAATAAAATATTTATTATTTGTCGAGTTATTATATTATATACAAATAATAATAATTAAAGATTACTTGAAGAATTAATTTCTTAAAGAATTAAATTTCTTAAAGAATCATGTTTTAAAAAAGTTAATCTATGATACAAGAGAGTGTTTGTAAATGACCAATCATATTCTGCGTTTATTTATGATGAAAAAATATCATGTATATCCGCAAATGCATTCTTCCAAAGTAGTTACGGAACGTCATGAAAAGTATACAAAAATACATATGTAGAATGCCAAGAGATATCTTTTGGTATACCTGTGGAAAAATTATCGAATATTACAGCTGCTACGAATAATAAGATTACAATACATTGCTCTGCTTCAACAGTTTTCGTTACACAGTTTGATATCGGGAGAACGAATTGCAAAAAATTCTCCATGGAATTTTATTTGAAATTTACTCTTCAAAAGTATATCGGCGACGGGGGAATAATCCACGAAGGACACTCGTTCGGCTCCCTTCCGCTGTTGCGGCTACGCGTGATATCCGATCGGGAGTGGTTAATTCGGGCGCTAAGTTCGTTACGTCGTAACCGAAACATTTTTGCAACTTTTCGACTGTATGCAAATCGAATTTCGGTCACGTCAAGGGTAAACTACGAACGACGATGAAACCGGGATCGGGGATATTAGTCGATCAACAGAAAGAAAGAAAGAGGAAGGGACGGTGGAATGAGAGGGGGAGAAGGAGAGGAGAAGGAAACGAGACGATACCGACGAGCGTGTTTCGGAGCCGGATGGAAATTTCATTCGCTAGTTTTCTCCGCTTAATAAGACGAGAGACGGAGCCACGAGATCGCTGCCGGTTTACAGACTTCGGAAAGGGGAAACAGAGAAAGGGCGCAACAAGGGCGGGGGTGATGCAGAGGACGCGCACGGGCTGCCGGTGGTAAAAGGGGGGGGAGGGGAGCGGTGAAAAGGGGACTGGCGGGGGATGCAGAGGGGCGGTCAGGACTGGGAGGCGAAGTGTCGTCGTCCGAATAACGGCCAAGCGGCATCGACCGATCTTCCTGCCCCCGGCCCGTACGAAGCGTCAACTTGTTTCCCTTCTGCTGCGCGAATATCGGACCTTCAATTTGCCCACTGCGGTTCGCTAACGCGATTGTCCTCAGCGAGCTGTCCATGACGCGGTTGTTGCGTGACGCGTGATCGGGGTATGACGGCTAAACGTTTCCCGAATTCACTTCGTGGCGGTGCACGCGCTCGAAATCGCGAGCAAATGAATTCCTACTCTCTGTTGAATTAGGAAACAGGATACAATAATATTTGAAAAGTATAAGTAAAAAGTCCCTTTTTTATGTATTTTCTTTTTTTTTATTAATGTTTCCTAAAATCAATTTAAACGATGCGATATATTTTAAAGATAATTCCAGGAAAGTGTGAAAAATAATTAAGAGGTTATACTGCTTTACATTCATTAAGAACTCATATTAAAAAATTATCATGAACAATCACACAATACATATTTTTTTATTATTTTAGATACGTATTCCTTCAGATTACATGTTTAAAAATTTTAATTGTTCAAACTAGATTCTTAGTGCTATTTAGAAATTAAAACAAGTATTATGTCAAAAATTTTTAATAAAATATAAAATAAACATTTGTAGTATAGCATTTTAAATACATTATTATATTATTATGAATTATAATTTTGTCTTTTTATGAAAACAATTGAATTATCTTTAAATAAAATTCTATGTAATTTAGAATAAAAGAGACATTTATTAAAAAATTTATTAAAAGATGTATATCATACAATTTCGTATTTCAGTCGTGATATTCACAATATCGAGACGTATTCACAAATCATGTTAAATCGCAATAATAATATTAAAAAATAGTAGTGAGTAATAGTTATTTTTGAATTAACTTGAGTCACAATAAAATATTCTTTCATTATAGTTTTATCTGAACTCGATCAATGGAAGGCTATGAAGAAGACGATGATACTCACTTTTGCATCAAATGTAACTTGACAATTAACGGTCTTAACAATTATGTGCAACACCGTCGATCAGGCTGCCGACCACCCAATGTTAAAATTGTTAACGAGCCACCGTCGACACCGACAGTGTCTTATCCCGAAATTCTAAATGCAGACGCGTTCTTCAATTCGCTGGAATTACAAAGTAGTGCAAAGTCAAACACTAGAAGAGCCCCGACTTTATTGGATAACAGTCGAAAATTCAAGAAAGATGACAAGAGGAAGAAGTATCAAAAAGTCCAGGATGGCGACGAATCTGGCGCGAAAGATAAACTTCACAGCATGTTACCTGTCAGCGATTTGGACGAACCATCGGATTTGTGCATCCAGTCCATCAAGCAGACTACCTCCGAACGAAAAAGGCAGAGTTGGTTGGATGATACCATTCTCGACGATCTTGCTTTGGGGAATAACGCAAATAAGGATTTGGCGAGATACGATTTTGAGTATCCGAATGACGACGATGACTCCGATGACGATATGCTGGGGGAGGAATTGGGGGAGGATTCTTATTCGGATTCGGACGATGGTGAAAATCGAGAGCGTCCACCGAGAGATCATACCGGTGGAAAATGGAAACCCGGACTCGACGATTTGCCGCAGGACATGCCGCATATGCATGAGGAGGATGTGGAACTCGACGATGATCATCACGAACATCCTCCGCCGACGTATACCGGCGGCAAATGGCGACCTACGGAGATATCGCAAGTAAGAAGAAAAAAGAAAAAATTTCCTCTAGAAATATGAGAAATTTCGTATTGTAAATCATAAATAATTTGAAAATGAGCATTTTTATTTCAAAAAGTAATATTTAGGTAACAGTTGCTCTAGTATAATGTTATAAATAAATAAATAAGGAAAAAAATAACAAATGCATTTAAATCACAGAAATGCAAAAATCGTTTTATTCTGAATGAATTTGATATGCAATATAATTTCATGAGCCGCGAGTGATGACGATTTGTTGGACTAAGGACTAAAGAGTTGGACATCGATCGTTACAGAAGGACGAGGAATACGAAAGTAAGAACGCATCTGGACAGCCGCCACCGGGACACACGCGAGGAAAATGGGTACCGGGTGCACAAACGGATATCGAGTCAGGATATTGGTGCAATCCTTGCGGCAGGAAACTCGCTTCACGATTGGTCTACGACAGGCATCTGCGCTCTGATTTGCACGCCAGGAGGAGCATTAGAGAACTCGACGGCGGTCTTCATCCACGACGCGGTATCAATTCTCACGCAAGAGTGTCCAGAAGAGTGTCCACTCGTAGACAGGCTTCGCTTGCAGCGGTAATAAGCCTCCTTTAACGACCTGTTAACACATGACATGTTAGCTTGTTTAAATATCAATTATTCTATTAAATAAATAATAATTATCATAATTCCAATGAATTTATTAATTATGTTAGTCAGACGTCTTAATTATATTTTTATTTTATAAATGTCTTTTTGATTAAAAAAATATTTAATTTTCTGGATCTAACGAAAAAATATTTGATTTAAAATTACGATTAAAAGAGAAAGACCGGATCTATGTGCCTCTTTATACTTTTAAAACTCGTAAGAGTTTAAAAAAATTCTACTCACTCTTTTATAAAATATAAAAATATTGATATTAATTCTTTGAGACCGGAAACATTTTTTCAAATGTAAATAATAATACTCTGAACGGAAGAGGGAATTTCTTTAAATCTCTAATGTTGTTACCGCAAACTGTCCGATTAAGTCACGTTTATATTATCAGAGGATGAAAGAAGAACCACAGCGAAAGAAAGTTAAGAAAGGTCTGCGTCGACGGGAGAAGGAGATTCTCCTGTGCGAAATGTGCCGCACACGTGTAAGGAGGCCTCAAATGGGTAAACATTTGCTCTCCCATTACCATTGCCGTGTGTCAGGTGTCCTCGTGAATCCTCGCAATCCAAGTGTACGCCGCTTCCTCCTGGAGCATATAGCGAATGTGGTTCGACAGAGCCCGTTCCAATGCGCTCCTTGTCATTTTTACTGCAACACCGAGGAGACGTTCCTGCTTCATTGGCGTTCCGATCTTCACTTCAAGACTGTAGAACAGGTGAGTGGCCGCTCGTTAGTCGAAGCGAGACGCAAAAAATTTTTTCGGGTCAAGATTAGAATCTGCATATCCGCCTTTTTGTCCTCATCGATGTGCATCCATTGTGCACAATCACGCGTATGATTCTTGCACCTGTCGACGAGTCATTACTCAACGAACATTAAATAGATAGTAAATGAGAAACGGATAAAATGAACGTAATTGACTCTCGCGCAACTTGGACGTTCGGCTGTTCGGCGAAAGAGATTCCTCGTTACTTCTCTTTCTCTACTTCTTCCTTCTCAGATCGGCGGTAGTTGCAGATGCAATCCGTGTAACTTCTGGTGCGAAGACAACGCGACAATGGAATCTCACCTGCTGAGTACGAGTCATCGTGACGTAGTATCGATGATGAAGGGCTCCACCGTGCCGGTGGTAATTAGTCGTCAATGTGCGTTATCCTGCGGCGGTTGTGATCGGCAGTTTCGATACAACTTTCAGCTGCGATCGCACGCCAAGGAAACCGGTCACAACGCGGGCTACACCGCATCGGACGAGTACCAGCAGCGTATCAAGTGCGAGCTCTGCTCTCAAGTTTTCCGGTCTCTAGTTGCTCTTCAACGTCATCAATTGACTAGTCACGTCGTCAAGGACAAAAAGGAGGGCGAGGTCGCGACAGTCGTGCAACCGGCGCCATATTTTTGTTCCTTTTGCTCGATGAATTTCACCACCGCCCAAGAAGCGGTTCTGCATCGGAGAACCTCTAGTCACAAGGAAGCTGTGAAAGTACGTAAAAGTGAGGAGGGTCTGCTGGAGACAGTGCGGGAGTGCCCTCACTGCGAGCGGAAGCAACCGAATCTCGCGGCGCACAAGATTCATCTTCTCCATTGCCATCCAAAACTTTGCCACAGGTAATATATTGAATTATTGATGATTCTACAACGTTATTTATTATCTTTAAAATTCTTTTATTTCTACAAAATGGCAAAGACTATCATTTGTTTAGTTATGTAATATTTTTAAAGTATTCTAAATTTCTTCTTTAACATTTTGAAATATTCTAACTTATAAATTTTATATACAATTTACAATATTAGATATTGCAATATAATTGTAGTAATATATTTTGTAATCTTTTCGATCAGATGTCCTCGATGTGGTACGCTTTTCGCTTTGTCACAAGATGTCACCAGGCACACGCGAGAGGGTAATTGTATCAAAAATAGCAAATCGAACGTGGATGATAAAATGAACGTGAAGAAAGAATGGGAATGCAAAGAATGCATCTTCTCAACGGATTCCAAAGCTGAATTTATTTTTCACGAGGCCCTCCATGCCGGTGCTGTTCATGAAATGGACAAGGGAACGTCCGGCTCGAGCAAGTTGTTGCCGAAATATAAGTGTCCGACTTGTGCGAAAATCTTTACGAAAACATCGCTACGAAACCACATCAGACAGCATACTGGTGAAAAGCCTTTCCCTTGCATGAAGTGTTCAATCTCGTTCTCGAGGAGATCGCATCTTATCATTCATCAGAAGATATGCAGTTCTTTGTCGAAAGGCCTGGATAAAACTGGTCGTCGACGAAGCTTTATTTGTTTGGAGTGCAAAGAAGGCTTTTACACAAAGTAAGTGATCATTCAATTTGTTAATTATTATTATTCAAACTAAAATGTTTCTTATAAATGACATAATTATTAACTTTTGTTCTAAAATTTTAATATACTAATATACCTCGAAAGACCTGATTATATACTTGGTCATAATACTTGGTTATATTTCACAACTTATATTTTTTTACTACAATGTTCAATTCTTTAAATCTTAACCTCTCTTAGAATCATATATGAGATGAAAATCGGATTTTATTTACAGACATACTGATTACGAATCAATACATAGAAATTATTTTCTAAAATTTTTATATATTACTTGGATTACATACTTAGATTTTAAAAATTTTTAATGAGAACTATAAATTTTGTATTTTTACATCTTTACTTAAGTACACAGATGTATAAATATCCTTCTAATCTTTACTGAAAAAGTCGATAAATAGATAGTTTAATTCAGTAATTCGTTTATTAGAATTGCATAATATCTATTTTTAACAAAACTTGTAATTTATTGTTTTTGTCATTCATTATTGTTATTGGCAAATGTGTTAAAATAGTAG